GAGAGCAATCTCCCATCGATTTGAGCGTGTGAAGACCAGCCCTGAGAAGCATCATACTCTGCAAGCAGTGCTGTTGATTTCAGCACCATTTCTTGCAGAGTAACTTACGATTCAGTGTAAGTGAGGCAAAGTCTGACTCTATGGGATTCTGTTTATGCCATCTATAGTCATCATAACTCTCTGCGTGTCTATAATAATTAGTTACTGTGGAGACAATTATCCCAGAAGTAGTATATGCACTGATAATCAGCCAACACACCATGTGAACTTTTCCTCTTGGAGATCCACCTACCCAACATGATACTAACCTTTTTCACAGCCCCTTCACCAACACACTTCAGTTTCCTGACTTCTGTATTTATGGCTTCACAAGTCAGCCAGGGCGAGCAATTTTTCAATAGTCCTAATCTGAAGTACCCAAATGGGCAGAGGCTGGAGTCCACGTCAGGCTGCACAGTGGTGACCGAGAAATTGTTGAGATGCATGTACAGAAGGAAATTCAGGAGCAGCACAGCTAGAAGCAGCAGCACCAACAAGACTGGAGGAATTTCCCTTCGGAGCAGCTCTTTTTTAATGTAATGGAGTTTTTTGTCCATGTTGCTATCTTCTACATTCTCTGTAATACACAAACAACCCAGTAAACACAACACTCTTTTGTGACAAGGAAAGACAGGGGACAAACGTTTGGGGGCCTTTTTGCAAAACCCTCTCCCTCTAGCCACCCAAATACTCCATAAGATATTTAAAGAGAAACCCTCAGTGTGAAATAGAGTCAGCTGATTAAAAAAGAAAAGAAAAGCACTTCGAGCTCTACTCCTGCCTCCACAGCCCCCTGTCATTTTTTGTGATTTTTACAGACATAGGCCCCAGTCCACAAATATGCTTTGTCCAGGAAGTGAAGGAGCTCTGCATGGACCCAGGGAGAGGAAAGCAGAGCTGCAGAGGCAGGGAGAAGGAAGGACTGCTGCTGTCATATTGGTCAGCAGGTGAGACGGTGTTTGTACAGCGCCTGGCACGGGGCGGGTGGCCCCAGACCTGTCCATTCAGCAACGGCCTGACATTAGGGTACCCCTGGACAGGCTGTTATTGCCAACCGAGGCGTGTAAGGCCCGATCGTTGTGTCTGTCACCCCAGCGAACCGGTGTGACTCCGGAGCAGGCGCCTTAGCCCGCGGGCCGGGGAGGGAAGGGGCTGCGTGTCGGAGCGGGCACGGCACAGACCTCGCCGAGCCCCGCCGCGAAACCCGCCCGTGCCGCTCGCGGGGCAGGAGCCGCCCGCCCCCGGGCCGGGACTTACCTCAGCCCGCTCCCGGGCCCTGCCCCGGCATGCACCGCCCCCGCCCCCGCCCCCAGCCCGCTCCAGCCTTCTCCGGTCCCGGGGGAGCTGGGCCCGCAGGCGCTGCCAGCCCGGCCCCTTCCCGCCAGCCCGGGCCCGGGCCCAGCCCCGGCCGGGAGCCGCGAGCCGCAGCCCCTGCGGGCGGGAGAGCGGAGTCCCGGCCGGCCGGCCGGCCGGCGGCGCGGGGATGGCGGGGCCCGGCCGGGGATGGCGCCCCTCGGCCACCCTCTGCCTGGCGGTGACCGCCCTGAGCGCCGCGCTGCTGGCGCCCGGCCTCACCCAGCCGCACGGTAATGCCCCCCCCCCCCGCCTGCCTGGCCTGGCCTGGCCTGAGCCGCCCCCCGCCTGCCTGGCCTGAACCGCGCCCTCCCCCGCGGCTTCCTGCCTGGCCTGGCCTGGCCTGAGCCGCTCCCCTCCCCTCCCGCCTGGCCCGGCCCCCCGCCTGCCTGGCCTGGCCTGAGCCGCCTCCCTCCCTACTGCCCTGAGGGGCCCCCCCGCCTCCCTCCCGCCTGGCCTGAACCCCCCCCCCCCACCTGCCTGCCTGCCTGCCTCCCTCCCTCCCACCTGGCCTGAGGCCCCCCCCCCCCGCCTCCCTCCCGGCCTGAGGCCCCCCCCATCTGCGTGGCCTGAGCCCCCCCCCGCTTGCCTGCCTCCCTCCTGTCTCGCCTGAACACACACCACCGCCCCCCCCTCCGGCCTGGCCTGAACCCCCCCCCCCCCCACCTGCCTGCCTGCCTGCCTCCCTCCCTACCACCTGGCCTGAGGCCCCCCCCCCCCCCCCCTCCCTCCCTCCCGTGGCCTGAGGCCCCCATCTGCGTGGCCCCCCCGCTTGCCTGCCTCCCTCCTGTCTCGCCTGAACACACACCACCGCCCCCCCCCTCCGGCCTGGCCTGGCCTGGCCTGGCCTGGTTCCCCTCCTCCCCCACCTGCCTCCTCTCCCCCCCCGCCCCGCCCCCGCCCCGGCCTGAGCCGCTCCTTCTGCCCCGTCTGGCCTGATTCCCCCCCAGCCTCCTGTTCCCTCCTCCCCGCCTAGCCTGAGGCCCCCGCCCACCTGTCCTGAAACCCCCATCTTCTCCCCCCACCCCGCTCTCCACTCCATTCCCCCCACTCCACCCTGCTCTCCATTCCTTCCCCGCCTCTGCCATGAACCACCACCTGATCTGCTCCCCCCTCATTCCACCCCCGTCTGCTTCCCCTGCCCGGCCTGCCCCCCATTCTCCTGTGCCTGGCTTGCCCTGCCAGCTGAATTGCTCCTGCCCAGTCTGCCCCCTATTTCCTTCTCCCCCACACCTGCAGTTGCCATATGTCCCAGTTTTATAGGGACAGTTCCAATATTCAGGGCTTTGTCTTATACAGGCATCCATTACTTCCCCCCACCCCCTCCCAATTTTTCACACTTGCCACACCCTTTTGTCTGCCCCTTGTCTTCCCCCATCACTTCATCTGCCCCCCCCCCCACCCCTGCCTCCTTCTCTCTACTTGTCTGTCACACTCTCCCCACTGCCCTTTCGCACTCCGTGCTCTCTCTCTCACACACGCCCCCTCTTCTCCCCAACTCAGTCTCTCCATCACTCTCACTCCCCTACCACCTTCCTGTGTCCCTCCCCCAGTTTCAGGGGTACTCTGTCTGTTCTCTGCAGTAGTGCTCCCACCCTTGCCTGGATTGGGCTGGGGTTGGTTTTCCATTCTCCTGTCCTCCCAAACATGTTTCATAGCTAGAAATGCCTGCCTGGTTTAGAACAAAGCTCTTTGCTTGGGCACACCACAGACTGGAGCTCCGCTGGGATCGTCCCCACCTAGGCCCGAATCTGCAGGTTACTATTCGTGGAGCTGAAGTTGCGTATCTTAGGTCAACCCCCCCGTGTAGATCAGGGTTAAGTTAGTAAAAGGCAGGCTATGAGCAAAAGTCAGGCCCTGCCATAAGCAAAGGCTTGCTTACAAGTTCACTGTCTGGTACGTGAACTTGGCAAAGACATGGTGAGCCATAGCTAAAACACAGGCACTCCTAAGAACTGGATCTGATTTAAATTACTAGTCAGGAAGACTCAATTTAATCATGGATTTCTACATAAAAGTGCATTCTTGTTGGTTGTTAAAACCTTAATACATATTCTTCACAACTCAGATAGATGTAGGTTTCATTTTTAGAAGGTACACACTATACATTTTTAAGTGATTTATTTTGAAAACTTCAGATTAGTTTTACAGCTATATCAGAAAATGAATGAATGATTGGTTATTTCATTTACCAAAGGTAATTGAAGCAGATATTTATGAAGTCATTGGGAGGTGAACTATCTCCAATTCAACAGGTTAATCATTAATATTTGGAGGATTTTCTTGCCATGCTATATTAGGAGGAGAACATCACCAGACAGACATTTAAACTGTTTTATTTAAGTAAAACAACAGCGTTATGCATTCTGGATTCTTTTCTTCAACAGCAAACATATAAGATTTTAATAAAACAAGCATATGAATTTTTGAATTTAGTTAAACATTCAAGTTTTTTAAAATCAGGTTTGTTTTTGTTAAAATTTGTTTTAACTAAAATAGTTAAATGAAATATTTAAAAAAAACAACAAAAATTAAATCGACTATGTCCACCAGGTCAACACGAGAAACTTAAAATATTGGCTTCTACAGCTAACTCAGTCGTCTTCACCTTCATTTTCCTGTTTGTTCATAATCTGGAAAAGAAAAACAAGCTCTTCTGCTTTTCCAGGTCCCAAATGATTTCTCAATTTGGAATGAATTAGTCCAAAGGAAGAAAATATTCTTTCTGCGCTGGCAGAAGAGGCTACTACTGTTAAAAGTGAGATTATCACTTCAACAGTCTCTGAATCCAAGTGTTTAAGTGACTTCCACCAGTTCACTGGTGTGACTTTTTTTAAAACATCATCAGCAAACATATTTCTTGAAGGGTTCACCTTTAGCTCTGAAGTTTATTATAGTTGGCGTTATGGAGGGATGATTGCTGGATGTCCATGTCCTAGCCAACTCCTCTTCTTCAGCCGTTAAGGTTTGACTCTGGTACCGACTATTGAGAATATTTGTAAGAAAATGAGCTGGAGATAGTGCTTGTCCCATTCGGTTTTTTTAGTGCTTGTAATTTAACGCTGTCATTGCATAGTTCTCTTTTTAAGATCTCACTCAGTTCCTTCCAAATTTCAACAGCGTCAGCAATAAAACAGTTATTTCCCTGCATTCTGTTCAAGGCTACGGAAATAGGCTTCAGGGTACTCAGCCTGTGTTCAGCATTTCTCTTAAGCCCAATGCTGAGAACTTTGGCTGTGACAGGAACACCTATTTTTTCACAATTTTGTTCACAAGCTGTCATCAGATTAGGCCAGTTCTTGATCTAGTGCTCAAAACAGTCCACTGCTGAGTTCCATCACATGTCTTGTGGGGGAGTTGGCTTGGTTCCTCCCACTTTTTTCAGAGCAGCTGGTGCAAAGTGGTTGTTATGGAAGTATTTTGCAATTTCAACCTTAGCCTTTATTTCTGAAACACTGAAGTCTTTGGCTAGGAGGTGCATCAAATGAGCACTGCAACTGTATGTTATTAGCTTGGGACTCTCTTCTAAATTTCTTCTCATCTTGGATACATTTGCAGCATTTTGTGTGATGAAGCTGCATACTAGACATTTGAATTTTTTTTCACAGTTTGTTATAGCTTTTACTGCTACTTCTTGTAAGTATTCTGCTGTGTGTGCATTTCCTAATGTATCAATTGTTTCTGTAAGGAAGACATTCCCTTCTGTTACACAAGCACATGCAACAGGATCATTGTGGACATTGTTCCACCCATCAAGACTCAGGTTAACAATTTCACATTTTGCACACTGCTCAATTTCTCTTTCATACAATTTTTCTTGCTTACAACACTCCTGCTAATACATCCCAGAATGATGTTTGCTTTTTTATTTTTATTTTTTTTTGCAACAGTGTTACACTGGTGATTCACAGTCCAGCAGTTTGCCTGGGACATGTGCTCTGTTGGGTGAAATCTATTCTGGTCTTAATGACTGAATCATGTTAATGAAGTGTGGGTTCTCTATGCAACAAACTCTCCTTTCCGTATGATTAACAAACCAGGCAATTTTTTCATCAATTACCTCTTTCTGTAATCTGCTGGTTCTTATCTATGATTGTTTCTGGATGATGGCGTTTTTTTTTTCTTTTTGCTACAGGTGATAAATATACTGTGGCTATGTGACATACATGATGTGACTGAAACACTATCATTGGCAGGTAACTCTGAAACTATATAAAATGATGGTGATCTTTAAGGTGGAGAGTCTTCAGAATCCTGTATGTTGAGGATGGATTCTCCTAAACAAAATAAGCCAATGCAGTTATTTAATTATTATTACCATACTGCTCATTTAGTATTACTTATTGCATTCACTGACAGTACTACTTTAAAGGTGAAATTGTAAAAGGAAAATCTGCCTATTTCAGGTCTTTATTTTTTATGACAACTGCATCTAAAATGCTAGTACCATAGAGTAACAACTCTATTTTTTGCTCAAACATGAGAATTCAAGAACAGTCCAGAAGGAAGACAGGCAGTCCTCAAGAAAGAAGTATGAAATAAAAAAGTTTACCAACCTGAAGATCCTGCATGTTCAGACATGTTTCTTTCATCATCCTCAGGACAGCTTCCTTCTGAGAAGGAACACTTCTTCATGATGTTGTTTCATTCAGTCAACCGGCCTTGCATTTCTTTGTTGCACTGTTTGCATTTTGCACACATGCCTGTCTTACCCACAGGTAGAGGAACTTCATTAAAATGTTCCCAGACTTGGTCTCTTTTACGGCCTGCTGCCATTATAGATTTTCCCTTCTAGTGAGAGAATGGTATGGTAGATCGCAAATCAATGAAGGTTACACTCCAAAAGACCTCGAGGCTTCTGGAATATGCTGCTCAAACAGTTTCACTTTTGTTTCTACTGCCTGTCCCTCCCTTCTCACATTTATCTCCAGACTTCTTCTCCTTGTCCAGATCTATTCCGCCCACAACCATCTTCTATTCATTGAACTTCTTGAAACTTTGCACTTTTAGAGAGAGGTAAGGGATTGACTCTGTGTACACACATTTGCAGAGGGACAATAGGGCTGAGGTCTGTTATTTCTCACCTCTCTGTATTTATTTATTTATTTTAAAACATTTTTGCTGTTATCAAGCATGTTATCGCTGGAGACACAAATCCACAGTTTGAGAACTGCAAAACTAAGCCTCTCTGATGGTACCTTCTCGAGTGAGCACTGAGTCCCATTGGGTAGATAGAAAGATTAACCGAAGTAATCGATACAGAAGCCCCTGGAGCCCCATCAGATCGGGTCCCTAATCCAAGAACTACTATGGGAAGTCATTAACAAAACTCTTCTTAAACGTGACATGACTATATGGTCTCCTCCTATAGAATTAGAATGTATAATCCCTATTCCATGATGCGATATCTTTGAGCTATAATGTATCTTCATTCAAACTGCCTTTAGATAGGTTTTTTCCTCAAAAAGCATTTGATCAAAAAAATCCGATTTAAATTAAAAAAAAATCTGATTTTTTTTTTTTTTTAAATCATTGATTTTTATCCACCCTGCCCACGAAGTACTAGGCACTGCATATTCATAGAGACGCATTCCAGGAGGTTAGTACAGGTACACCCCAACATAGAGTTATGGCATAAATACAGTCCTGGGAGATGGTATAGGAACACATCAACCCCAAGTATGGCAGGGCAGGGTGATGGACGAAGATGTTTTGTTTAAACCAGGTGGCACAGGCTGTAGGGTCGGTAGTCTCAGGAGAGTAATACGTATCAATTGTTTGTATCAATGTATGAAAGAGAAGTCATAGGAGGGGCACTTTTGTTCAGCCTAGGGGACAGCAGAAAGTCCCACTGCTGACTGAGCTGGTCCATTGTCAGAGGCGTACGTGTGTTAGTGTGCATGTAGAATCTGTGGGGTGCTAGGACTGTGCTTCTTCAGCAATAAACCTGGCCAAGCGCCTTCGCCACCGAAGGCTGTGGTCTTTCTGGGTAGTGCTATCAAGGTCTGGTGAGCCAGCTGTCTGTACAGAGCTGGAGTGGCACACAGTGAGAACACACACGTATGCCAGCTGACGACAAGTTCTGGGCAGCGACAGGGTGTGAAGTAACTCGCAGGATCAGGGCCCTGGAGCTCATCCAGAAGAGATTCCTATCTCCACACAAAACAAAATGGGACTTTGTATATATGTAGGTTCTGCCTTCTGATGATTAGATTCCTGGATGAGAGCACCTAGTCTGCGGGGAGCTCAGGGGGAGCAGGTACTACCCCTGCACTATCCCTCTCTCCTGCCCCCTTGCGACATCTGTGGGTATGTCTATACTGAAACTAAAAGGTGTGTTCTTAACTTGGGATTGCCTGCTTGGGTTTCAACAGCAGGGAAGACTTGGCAACTTGGTTTATAACTGGGGCCTAACTGCATTGCATCGGGCACAAAAATTCTCACATCCCTGAGCAACATAATTAAGCCAACATGACCCCCATTGTAGACAACACTAGGTTGATGGAAGAATTCTGCCGTTGACCTAGGTACTGCCTAGTGGGAAGATGGATTAAGTGCAGCGATAGGAGAATCCCTCCCGTTACTGTAGTGATTGTCAACACTGAGGCACTACAGTGGCTCTGCTGTAGCATTTGAAGTGTAGACACAGTCCTGGTCTATATCTAGATATTAGCTTGACCTAGCTGTCTCACTCAGGGCTGTGAAAAATTTTGTGGCCCATGTGACATAGTTAGGCCAACCTAGCCTTCGCTGTAGACACCGCTAAATTGATGGAAGAATTCTACCACGTCTTGGAGAGATGGGTTATGTATATGGATGGATAAGTCCCTTCTGTCGACGTAGGAAGCGTCTATGCTGCCGTGGCCCAACTGCAGCACTGTATCTGTGCTGCTGTAGCCACATACCTTCAGTCTGTACGTCAATGGTGAATGCTCTTGTTACCTGGCCAGTCTGATTCCCCCGTGCAATAATAGTACTCCGGAGCCATACTGAGGTGGAAGCAGGGCTGGAGAGATTGGGCCTTTCCCATACAATTTCTGTGGTGTATAGATTCTCCAGTATGAACCGCCGTAAATGTGTGAGGATTGGTAAGGCTGCGATATGATGTCTACTGAGCTATTGTCATTCTGTTAACCGAGTTGCCTTCTGTCCTGAAGTGTGTTATGCAGAGTTTTCCCTTTCGCAATATTGACATACGTCTTTCTCTCCATTTCTGCATCGTAACAGATTTATCCAGAAAGAGACCCTTAGGGCTGAAAATTGATCAGGCTTTACTGCTGGTGCACAATGAGTTGATCCATGAGAACTTGACGGTCTCCTGGCTTTCTGATTATTGTTACCAGGTAAACAGCCCTCTCCCTTTGTATGCTATGTAAGGTTTCCTTCTAGGGGAAGGCAAGGATATGGCCCTGGACCCAGGGTCTGATTGCAGCTCATGTAGACAATCCTGAGCTCGTGGACACAATCTAGCCAGATAGCAAAGCAGTGAAGCCACAGCAGTGTGAGCTTCATTGTGGGCTGTACGAGCCTGCCCAGAACCCTGGATAATTACTCGTGGGGCTAACCCATGCTGCAGTGTGTGCTGCCACATGCCTTCCCCATTCCAGCACCCAAGATAGCTAGATTAAAGCTAGCAGGGTTATGTCTGCGTGAGCTACAGTCACACCCTGTGACTGCAGTGTAGACATACCCAAAGACTTGTTCCCCTAAGGGATTGTGGAAATACTAGTGTTTTGAAAGTCCTCGTTTTCTGTTGCCCAGTTTTTTCAGCTAGTTCTTGGATGGGCAAAGGATCCGTGTCATAGACGGTGGGGAAAGGTGGACATCTTCCAGGCTCCCCACAGCCTCCAACATCTTCTCCCCCAGCTCCTTTATCCCTCGTGAGCCCTGACCCCATTCTGGACCCTCAGCCAGTGAATGACAGATATCTATGGGACTCATACCCTCAACAATGTCTTGAGGGAAAGAGCAGCAGGATGCAAAAGAAGGATAGGTCATTTCTTTGGATAATGAGACTGTCCGTAGTTACAGTGCAATTGTAAAGATTTCTTTTTAAGTTTGAAAAGTGTGTAAACCCTCATGTTTTAGAGCATAAGCTAACCACGGATGACTGGTGAGGGGTTAAGAAGAAAGCTCCTTAATGGTCAGGTTATTCCATAATTACCTCCTTCAGGCTTTCTTGTATCTTCCTGGTGCTAGCCCTGTCAGAGACAGGATGCTGGGCTAGCTGCTCTGATCTGGTATGGCATTTCCTGTGTTCTTAGTGGAGTGTGTCTCGTGTTTTTAAATGATCAACTTTCCAGTATTTTAATTTGTTTCTTTTTTGTCATTTGTATTTAATGGGTTGGGTTTTAGCCCTTTTGAAAATCCTACTCTGGGTGCCTAACTTTAGGCTCCTATTTTTGAAAATCTTGCCCAATAATTCTTCCTCCAGCTGCAGCTCACAGAAATGTTACCTCCTTGCTGTTGGACAAACCAGGCTTCCTTTGTACTCTTCTTTGAATTAAAAAATAATAATACTTTTGCTCTGCCTGGTAAAATCAAGTAGGTTTTTTATTTTTGTAATCCTTCATCTGTCCTCATTTTCTAGTGCTTGCATCAAGATCTGGTATCTGTCCCAATGAGCAACGCTTCGGGAAAGCCCAACATTGTAGCAGTTGCCGTGGATTCTCAGCATCCAATCACCCTACAGCTCAATGGCACTAGGGCAGGCAGAGAGTTTCCCAGGTTTGTAACTGATCTGAAGATAATGTATTTTGAAATAACCCAGTAATGCTTACATTTTCTGTCATTTGCCAGCCACTGTCCCTAAAGTCTGTGGCCTCCTCACCGCAGTTATTACTGAGCACTTCGGAAGTTAGATTTGCAATTTGATCTTCATCTTACCAACAGTATAAAAATATAATTTGTTACAATAGTGCCTAGCTCATCCAATCACAAGTGGCACCCCGTAGTGCTGTATGCTGTACAGACATGCACAGAGACAGAGTTTAAGGCCAGAAAGGACAACCAGATCATGTAGCCTGACTTCCTGGATATCACAGGCCACTAGGCACCCGCACACTAAACCCAACAACAAAATCAGACCAAAAGTCTATGAAGTCATGGTTCCTGCGACATAGTCTATAGTGTAAGAAGTCATGTGATGTACGAAGGGTGGAGTGGGTCAAGGGTGGGTTGGAGCGATCAAACGATACAGTAGGGGAAGCCAAGCCAATGCTGACAAAGAAGTGGCTTTGGGAGCTGCTGGGTGGCCAATCAAAGAAATGGCTGAATGAACAGTGCATTGAAAGCACCAAACCAGGGAGCAGGAGCCAAGCTGCAGTAACTATGGCAACACAACTAGAAGACCTCACCAAGTAGGAAAAAAGAAAAATCTGGGCACAGGCTGGGGCCTTTAGAGCCCCATCTCCTTTTGTATGTGCAGGGAGAGGCGGTCACTGCAGCCCCGCAGCAAGGAGGAGCATGGGCTGTGTGCTTCCCAGCGTGCCCCTACCCTTCTTCCCATTGCCCTGTTTTTGTAGCCCTTCCTTTCTTTCAGTCCACCTCCCAGCTGGCCGAGCCTGTAGCCCAGCGGTGCCTACCACAGTACCTGCAGGCAGTAGAGATTGCACAGCAAGTACCAGCACAGGTTCCCTTTCTGTCTCCCTTAATTCTTTGCAGGATCCATTATCATTTTGGAGAATTTGGGAACTATTCTCTTGTGGTAAAGAGCTTTGATAGCAGCACCAAGATGATTTCCTGTGACATAATCATCAATGAAAGTCCTGTCAACAGCCATCTCCGTACGTACCACTTTATTTTCCCCTTTCCTTGTGTAAATCAAGTTGTTGTTTTTTTCTTTCAGGAAATCATCTCATTAAAATTCTCTTTAGTCCCCTTCCTAGCAAATCCTTGAACCTAATGAACTCCCT